CAGGGAGATTCATTTTGCTTATCTATAGTTTCTAAATTTTTGATAATGAAAATTATTATTTTTGTAAAGAAAGTTATAAAAATACTAACAATTAAATATAAAAATGCAGGGTGCTTGGATCCTAAGAAAATAGGAGCTTACTGTGATTAAAAGTCAGACTGCATATAATAATTAGTTATAATTAATAATGCTTTTTTTTTTTTTTTTTTTTTGAGGGAGAGTCTTGTTCTGTTGTCCAGGCTGGAGTGCAATGGTGCAGTCTCGGCTCACAGCAAGCTCCGCCTCCTGGGTTCTTGCCATTCTTCTGCCTCAGCCTCCTGAGTAGCTGGGACTACAAGTGCCTGCCACCACGCCTGACTAATTTTTTGTATTTTTAGTAGTGACGGGGTTTCACCGTGTTAGCCAGATGGTCTCGATCTCCTGACCTCGTGATCCGCCCACCTCGGCCTCCCAAAATGCTGGGATTACAGGCGTGAGCCACCGCACCCAGCCCTTTTTTTTTTGGTTTCCATGAAATCTTTCAGAAAATAATAATGCTTTTTCAAAGATTGAATTTTTGGTAAATGTTTATATTTTGGCTAGCTTAAGTTTTCCCCTTTCTCTGCCTTTCATTTCTAGAGTCACCAGAAGGAAAATGTAAAACATTTTTAAAATGGCTCTTTGCCTGTAAATCATCCAGCACACACCCTTCATTTTTTCTAGTTTCAGGCATAAAGGGAAACCTGGCTCAGATAAGAATGATCCTTGCTGTATGCTGAGAGGCTCATATATCTTTCTTTTTAAATTATTATTTTTTATTTTTTAATATTTATGTATTGTATTTTTAATTTTTTTAGACACAGGGTCTCGTTCCGTTGCCCAGGCTGCAGTGCAGTGGCGCCACAGCCTTGAATTCCTTGGCTCCTGGGTGATCCTCCTAATTCCGCTTCCTGAGTAGCCAGGACTACAGGCCACCATGCCTGGATAATTTTTAAATTTAAAAATTTTTTTTTGTGGAGAACGGGGTCTTGCTTGGTTGCCCAGGTTGGTTTTGAATTCCTGGCCTCAAGCAATCATCCCGCCTTGGCCTCCCAAAGTGTTGGGATTACAGGTGTGAACCATTGTGCCTAGCTATCTTTTTTTTTTTTTCTTTTTTTTAATTCTGAGAGGCTCTAGCTCAAACACAAGTTAGCAGGTTAAAGGCTACTCCAAGTTCTGGCAGAGCTAATCTTTACTGCTTCGTCTTCAAAAAATAGAGGTTTGTAACTCTTTATTTATTTATTTATTTATTTTGTGACAGAGCTTCACTCTGTTGCCCAGGCTGGAGTGCAATGGCGCGATCGTGGCTCACTAGCAACCTTCACCTCCCAGGTTCAAGTGGTTTTCCGGAATAGTTGGGATTACAGGCGAGTGCCAGCATGCCCAGCTAATTTTTGTACTTTTAGTAGAGACAGGGTTTCACCACGTTGGCCGGACTGGTCTCAGACTCCTGGCCTCAAGTGATCTGTCCTCTTCAGCCTCCCAAAGTGCTGGGATTATAGGCGTGAGCCATGGCACTTGGTCTTGTAACTCCTTTTTGGACTTCCTTCAAAGTGAAGGTCTTTGCCCATGAGCTCTTTGACATCATCTGGTGTCCACTGGTAATGCGTCAGCTCCAAAACTTTCTACTTTGTCTTGGAAGATTTGCTGGTGTCTGTGGGCATGGGCATGGCTGCTCTGGTTATTTGCTCCTGCCTCATTTCTTATTGGTCAGTTGCCATTATCTTGGCCCAGAATCACAGTAAATTCTCTGAAGCCCAAATATGTTGAGGAAATACCAGGATACAGAGCTCATTCAGGGTGGATCTAATGTGAGTAGTTTGATAACTTGCTGCAGGATAGGCTTAAAACCAGAGGGTCGGCTGGGCGCAGTGTAATCCCAGCACTTTAGGAGGCCAAGGCGGGTGGATCACCTGAGGTCAGGAGTTTGAGACCAGCCTGGCCAATGCGGTGAAACCCTGTCTCTACTAAAAACACAAAAATTAGCCGGGCATGGTGGCAGGCACCTGTAATCCCAGCTACTTGGGAGGCTGAGGCAGGAGAATCGCTTGAACTTCGGAGGCGGAGGTTGCAGTGAGCCGAGATGGTGCCATTGCATTCCAGCCTGGGCGACAGAGCTAGACTCCGTCTCAAAACAAACAAACAAACAACAACAGAAAACAGAGGGTCAGTGGAAATAGGACCTTGGTTGCAACAATGCCTGAATATGTCATGTTGACCCATTCACAAGTAATCATAGGGATGACATTTGTTATATTTCCTTTCATCATGCCTGAGAGCATAGTGGGAGGAAGTGGTGATATTTTTATCCTCTGGGTTGTCGATGTAATATTCTCATGTCAAGAAAATACTTTTTGGGAATGTAATTTCCATTTTCACTGAAGGCTCTGCTTCAAATTAGGACTTAACTGTTCAGAAACTTGCTCCTGGGTGAGCTTCTTGTCGCTCTGTACCAGGGTGAACATGTAGTGGCAGATCATGTCTGAGAAGAAGGAGATGATAAATATGGGCAGGACCATCCAGTGGCTGATGCTGGAGTTGAACAGTAGCTCCTTCACTGAGAGCTGGTCTGGCTTCTCCTGGGGTGCTGGGGCTCTTTGAGTTCTCCTCGATGCCTTCTCATGCTCCCTCAGCCTGGGTATTATCTTGACCTAAGACTGGCCAGGACCCTGCTACAGCCTTGGGCCTAGTGCACTGATTTCAGCTCCTCCAGCTGGGCTGCCAGTGGCCCACAGCAGCCCTCTATCCGTTTGATTTTCACTCACTATGTCTGGAGACTATGGAGTTCTAAACAGAAACCAAGAGCTCCCTGACATCTTTTTGCTTGTTCTAAGCCATCTCTATTAAGATCACATTTTAGAGTGAAAGTTATTAAACCAAAGAATTTTGTTTGATCACTCTGACCCCCACGTGCTTCAGTGAAAAAAAAAGCAGGCTATAAAACATTATGTACTATATGAATTCACTTTGTGAGAACACAAAAGACTTCTATTTATTACTGCCTACCACACAAAATAGTAAGGATTCAATAAAACATTGTAGACTAATGGCTGAAATGATTGAAAGAATACACAGGAAATGAAATTTTATGCACCAAATTGTTAACTGGACTTATTTCTGTTCCAGGACTCTAGTTGATTATTCTTTTTTCCAGATTTACCACAGTGAATATATAATTTTTACTTGATATTTTTAAAAAGTGTTGTGATTTCTCTTTTTTATAAGTGGCGAGAGATTGATGAAAGTGAAAGTACTTTCTAGAAAGAACTGTGTAGCAAGTCATAAATTCAGTCATTCCCTGAAATGCCGTAATCTACTACAGAGCTTTGTTGTCCTTTTACTTTGAAAGGTAACACAATAGTTGGGATGTGTCAAAATGAAAAAATATCGTTCATAGTTTAGATATATAGAACAAATTGGGACATAATTCCAGAACTGATGACTTAGTTCCACAACAAAGAACACACCACACCTGAGAGTTTCAGATATAATAACAAATGAATGGTGGCTGTCTTACTCTTGCTTTAAAATAGCATTCTTAAATACTAGGATGTGAGACCCACTCATTGGGTGGAGACCTTTTAGGAGATAAAAATAGAAGTTATCCTTATCCTCAGGGAGCTCATTGGCTAGTGACTGTGACTGGGAAGTAACATTTACAGTTTATTTATTTTTTATTTTATTTTATTTTATTTTATTTTTTGAGATGGAGTCTCGCTCTGTCGCCTAGGCTGGAGTGCAGTGCCTCCAGCGTGGGCAACAAGAGTGAAACTCCGTCTCAAAAAACAAACAAACAAAACACAATTTCAGAAGAGTATGTGGTTAAGTCTTCCTTCTACCCTATCTCCCAGCCACTAGGTTCTTTCACCATTTCTAGAGATATTTTATGCAGGGGTATAAATATGCATATATGTATCTATATTTAAAAATCGTAGATGGTGTTATATTATGCTCTTCTGGAGTACAAAGTGTTCTATATGCTTATCTCATTTAATATGTACAATAGTTGTCAAGACAGGTACTCTTACTAACATTTCCATTTTACAAGTAAGGAACCAAAGACATCTCAATTTCTTAATAACTTGTGCAGGGTCACATAGCTGATAGTTATAGAATCTGCTTCCTGAGGCACTACTTTATGTAGTTAACTTATCTATTTCTTCACTATTTTGAGTCAGAGTCTCGCTCTTTTGCCCAGGCTGGAGTGCAGTGGCGTGATCTTGGCGCACTGCAACCTCCCCCTCCCAGGTTTAAGCAATTCTCCTACCTCGGCCTCCTGAGTAGCTGGGACTACAGGCACCCGCCACCACCATGCCTGGCACTTTTTGTATTTTTAGTACAGGCAGGGTTTCACCAAGTTGACCAGGCTGGTCTCGAACTCCTGACCTCAAGTGATCAGCCCGTCTTGGCCTCCCTAAGTGCTGGGATTACAGGCATGAGCCACCACGCCTGGCCTAGTTAACTTTTTAATTTGAAACAATTTCAAGTTACAGAAAAGTTGCAAGAATATAATAAAGAATTGCATATACCCTTTGCCTGGAGTCCTCAGTCAGGTTTCTGCAGTTATCTTAATAATATTGGCAAAAGGAACCAACCTAGGATTGCACATTGTTCCCAGTTGTTAGGTCTCTCTAGCCTCCTTCAATCTGGAACAATTTCTTCACTCTTTCTTTTACTTTCTCATGATGGTGGTATCTTTAGAGATCACAGGCCAGACCTGTCCAGAGAGATTTTGTAGAATATTTCTAAATTTGTGGTTGTCCTAGGTGTCCTCACAGTAATCCCCATATTATGCATTTTTGACCACAGTATCACAGAAGTTATGCTATGTTCTTCCCATTGCCTCTTACCGGGCAGCACACAGTGTCAATTTGTTCTATTATTTCTAATAAAGGGAGAAAGGAAGAAAGGGGTATGGGAAAGTAACTTGTTGGTTTGCTTTTTAGAGAACCCTCAGTTCAGTAAATATATTTTCCTTGTAGCACCCTGGAGGAGAAGAGGTTCTGCTGGAACAAGCTGGTGTAGATGCAAGTGAAAGCTTTGAAGATGTAGGACACTCCTCTGATGCCAGAGAAATGCTAAAGCAGTACTATATTGGTGATATCCATCCGGTAAGAACTATCAGTGCTAGCAACCCTTATGCAGAGAAAACTACTCAATAGCTGCAGAACAGGATGAAGAAATGAATTATTGGCCGGGTGTGGTGGCTCACACCTGTCATCCCAGTACTTTGGGAGGCCAAGGCAGGTGGATCACTTGAGGTCAGGAGTTCGAGACCAACCTGGCCAACATGGTGAAACCCTGCCTCTACTAAAAAATACAAAAATTAGCCGGGTGTGGTGGGGCACCCTTGTAATTCCATCTACTTGGGAAGCTGAGGCATGAGAATTGCCTGAACCTGGGAGGCAGAGGTTGAAGTGTGCCAAGATTGCACCACTGCACTCCAGCCTGGGCGATAGAGCAAGACTCTGTCTCAAAAAAAAAAAAAAAAAAAAAGATGGAAATTCATTCAACCTAGCCATCAGGCTAAATTTTCTCCAAAATTATCCAGTCTTATTGTGTTAGGATATAGCTTCTTTGCCAGGTAGCACATGTAGTATCTCTAAAAAGCTAAGGGAACTGATTGTGGATTATTTTTATGTGTTGATTTATTATTGTAACGCAGTTAATAATACCTCTACCTAAAATAGTGGTTTGCTTGTTTTTGCAAGCTCCTTGCTAACGGTAGTAATTATGGACTTTTAAAACTGTCTGTATATACCATGCTAACAAGGGACCGTGATATGCTCAGAGTAGGGGTATCTTTCTATGATCCTCAAGTCTCCCAGGGAATTCACTATCACCAGAATATAGTCTCATATTCCAAAGTTAGAAACAAGCATATAATGAGAATTCATTTGGATATGTCTTAAAATATTATTTGTTTTCCTTTTTTTTTAACAGAGTGACCTTAAACCTGAAAATGGTAGTAAGGTAAGAAGTCATCGGTTTGTCTTCTGTGCTTATATTTCTGTTTATTCAAGTAGAACTGCTTTTTGAAACATTTTTTCTTAACAAGAGAAGTTACAAAGTATTTCCTTTTTCCCCAAGCAAAAATCCTATTTTTCAGGAATTTGGACTTGGTGTCATCTCAGGAAAAAAAGAATAGCTGAGTCTTGAACAGCAGGAAACATTTTGCTAATGCTTCTATATGCTTTTTTTTTTAAAAAAAAAACTGAAACTCAGCCGGGCATGGTGGCTCACATCTGTAATCCCAGCACTTTGGGGGGCCGAGGTGGGCAGATCACAAGGTCAGGAGATTGAGACCATGGTGAAACCCCGTCTCTACTAAAAATACAAAAAATGAGCTGGGCGCTGTGGCAGGTGCCTATAGTCCCAGCCACTCAGGAGGCTGAGGCAGGAGAATGGCATGAACCCGGTAGGTGGAGCTTGCAGTGAGCCGAGATTGCGCCACTGCACTCCAGCCTGGGCGACAGAGCGAGACTCCGTCTCAAAAAAAAAAAAAAAACCAAAAAAACCCTGAAACTCCAAAGCTATGCCTTGTGTGGTTTTGAAAGACATTAGTTTATGGGTTCAGTTATAGAAAAATACCTTACTTTTACATTATGTAGAACAAATGATAATAATTGTTTCTGTGTTGGAAAAAAATAATTTCAAAGTTGTTTTGTTTCTTATAGTTTATCTTCTTTATCTGTAACACAGAGGCCTTTCTGTACTTATTTTCCAAATTTAATTCTTTTATCCTGTAGGCTCAAATAGGCTCACACCCTTCCCGGTTACTTAGTAATACAGCGAAAACAAAAGACTAAGTATTTGAGTGTTTGAAAACTTTAATGTGTACTGCATTGCATACCAGGAAGAAAATATGGAACCATTTTCTGCCTCCCACATGCTAGGTGGTTCATTTCCCTTCTTCCCTAACACTTTTCCTTAATTTCTGTCCTTCAGATAGCTGTTACACAGCACTCTAATTTAAAGGGACAGCAGTTTAGGTGCCACCTAGAACATAGGAAAGTGATGCTGCCTTCCTCCCCTTTTTCTCCTCCTTGCTGCTTGCTTCCCATTCCTCATTGAGCTGGAATTACTGAATAGGTTTGACACAGCAATTAAAGTTGGCCTAGACACAAGAATTCTATTAACTCAAGAGATTGCTTGCTTAACAGTGTCTGCCATCTGTTGCCCTGCAATCCAGAGTGTTTGTGTAAAGTAACTCTTCCATCTTGCTAGACTGCTACTCTGAACTATTGAATTGTTTCTGAAGGGGGAATGAAATGGTTCTTAAAACACTTTGTAACAACTGTTGGTTGTTTGTCCTCTCCTCCTAACACATGTATTATCCATTCTTGAATCCTTTAAAAAAAAATATTAAATAGTTCAAAACAGTATTCTATAAAAAGTTTCCTCCTATCTCCAGCTCTCAGTGTCTTAGTTCCCCTTCCCTGGAGGTAAGCAGCCATCATTTTTTGTTGTTGCTTACTCTTAATAACTTGTGTTATTATGGTAAAATTTGAACTACACATGGCCTTGATATGTATATCGAACATGTCCAGAAAATACCACTCTCAGAGGTCAACATCTGATTCAAGGGATATAGGAGCCATAACACATTTCTGCACAGCAACTATGAGAGCATCTTTTATATTAAAACAATAGAAAAAATATGCTTGCAATTACAATGTCTAGAAGTCTACAAATTGCTTCTTGTTGCTGTTTTTCTTTCTTGGTAGTATAGTTAGGACCATTCTTAGGAATGCAGAACAATGTTCCCCAAATTCTGTTCTTGCATCACCTCCATTGGAATCCCTTGGCATGTACATGAAAATATATAGGAAATGTTTATTTCTTGGGCTTCCACTCCTACTGATTTGGAATCTCTGGAGATGGGGTTTAGGAATTTGCAGTTTAAGTAATCTAGGTGATAAGTAGGTAGCTAAGCCCAAACTTTTTGCTGAATGATATGCCCATCTTTTCATTTGAAAACTTAGGAAAATTTAATTCTCTTCAGTGATAAGCATTGTCTGCCTTCTATAGGCCAAAGAATTAGAAATTTCTCAGTTGAATTAAAACTATTGAGCCATCCAGGTGCAGTGGCTCACGCCTGTAATCCCTACACTTTGGGAGGCTGAGATGGGAGGATCGCTTGAGCCCAGCAGTTGGAGACCAGCCTGGGCAACATGGTGAGACCCTGTCTCTATTTTTAAAAAATCATAAAATTAGCTGTGCATGGTAATGTGTGCCTCCAGTCCCAGCTACTGGGGAGGCTGAGGCTGGAGGATAGCTTGAGCCCAGGAATTTGAGGCTGCAGTATGCCATGGTAACACCATTGCACTTCCATCTGGGTCACACAGCATGACCCCATCTCAAAAAAAACAAAACAAAACAAAAAAACCAAAACAACTATTGAACCTTAGATTTTTTTGTAAGAAATATAGAAAAAGCATTTAAGCTCACCGAGTTCTGTAATAATTTAGAAGTCTCCAAATGTAGTTTAGCCCCTATCTGGGTTAAAAAGTGACTAAAGGCAGTGTTTTCAATCCAGTTTTCCTCATGTCACTGTACTCAAGGGCCATGTCTTCATCAAGTAAAGAGTCTGGCTGTTGTGTCTCTAGTCACTCTGCTCTACTCTAGACAGACCAGGCAAGAAAGGCCTTTTGGAACATTTTCAAGACCACCTACTTAGGTTTTTATAGAGTGAATATTCCAACCTGACTTCAGTTCCAGGAATAAATTCTTGATCTCTCACATTTATTTCTTACAGAGGTTTAAATAGGCACTTGGTGTCTAGGATGTAGCTGTCTCTTTTCTTCATATTTTATCTCTGGTTTAACCATTCATCATTAAGAAATGGAAGTGGAGTTCATTTCATTGGTTACCTTCCTTTCTCTTGGTTCAGGGTTTCTGAATTTTTATGAAGAAGTGATTTTTAAAAGTCGAATTAAAGGTATCTTCAGCCTATGGAGGGGAGTTTTCATTTCCATTTTCCTTCTTCTCCTTTCCTCTATTTCTACCTGTCTCCTCTCCCACCTCCACAACCCCATATCTACTTCCTGTCTGAACCGCACCTTCCCTACTGCCCCCCAAGAAACACTCAAAATGCTGCTATTCCAGTGTATAAGTCAGTAACCATTCCCTAATTCTTTTAGAAAACACCTTTCATATTACTTTTATAACAGAGGTAAATAATTAATGGTCACCATTGTTTTATTGTTTGTTAGATGGATAGTACCTGAGTTGAAAGCCCAGAATTATTATACTAAAAACCTAAAGACTTAAAAACTTAAAGATCTATCAACAGATTTTTGTTTTACCTGCTTCAATCAAAAATAACTAACTAGAATTAAAAACCATTTGTCTTTGTGAATCTCTTCCTTGCTGGATTAGCCCTCATGCTGAGAGCCGTCAATCTTCTACTTATATTTGACTTAACATTTTTCTGGTCTGTTTTTGGTTATGGAAACTCACCTTAGAAACAGACTTAGTGCTCTCTGTGCCAGTTTGCCTGCCTGCTTGCCTGCTCTTTAGCAGGTAACCTATAAATATTCGTGGTCTGTGAATTCTCTCTTTTGATGATGTATTTACTTCTTGGTTAGCTGTTTTATCACTTAATCTGCCATCAGTTCAAGAGATAAAGTGCATACAAATCCTAACCTGACTAAAAAAGTGGGCACCATTTCATTCATTTATTCAATAGATATTATCTAGATAATAGTTCATCTGCTTTACTAGTCAAATCTTGTAGTCAAATAGGTCTAGTAACTTGACCAGTTCCCCATTACATTTTTTTTGAATGAGTAGTTTAAAATGTACATGGTAAAAAAACAATTTTTTTTTTTTTTTTTTTGAGACGGAGTCTCACTCTGTCGCCCAGGCTGGAGTGCAGTGGCCGGATCTCAGCTCACTGCAAGCTTCGCCTCCCGGGTTCACGCCATTCTCCTGCCTCAGCCTCCCGAGTAGCTGGGACTACAGGCGTCCGCCACATCGCCCGGCTAGTTTTTTTGTATTTTTTTTTTTAGTAGAGACGGGGTTTCACCATGTTAGCCAGGATGGTCTCGATCTCCTGACCTCGTGATCCACCCGTCTCGGCCTCCCAAAGTGCTGGGATTACAGGCTTGAGCCACTGCGCCCGGCCAAAAAAAAAATTTTAATAGTTCGCAAGTATACTATAAAAAATGTTGACCAGGCGCGGTGGCTCACGCCTTCAATCCCAGCACTTTGGGAGGCTGAGGCGGGCGGATCACGAGGTCAGGAGATCAAGACCATCCTGGCTAACATGGTGAAACCCCGTCTCTACCAAGAATACAAAAAAATTAGCTGGGCGTGGTGGCGATCACCTGTAGTCCCAGCTACTCGGGAGGCTGAGGCAGGAGAATGGCGTGAACCCAGGAGGTGGAGCTTGCAGTGAGCAGAGATCACGCCACTGCACTCCAGCCTGGCGAGAGAGCGAGACTCTGTCTCAAAAAAAAAAAAAGATCTTTCTCATTTTTTAAGTAGATATTTAGTATTCCATAGATGAAAGTGTTGATGTGATGACATTTGCTTTCAAAGGATTTGATCTGTTTTTTAAAACAAATAAAATTGTCTCCATAGAGGCTTAACGTGTTTTTTAAACTTCATTTTTAACTTAAGAAGCTTAACTTTTGGAATCTGGTAAATTTTACATGTTAGAAGCAGTCTATTAATTGCATTTAAAGTTATATTTTTTTCTCCCAGATGCTACTGAATTTTATTATACATACAGTTTTCTGTTATATAATGTATTATGTAACATACAGTTTACCTCTTTTATGGGAGAGAAACTAAAAAGAATATATTGTGTATAATTATGAAATATAGTTGATTATATTAAATTAAAATTTTTATTTTTAAGAATTATTTAATATCCTTTCCATACCTACTACCTAATTTATTAAAGTTTGGAATGGGATCCTGATGTCCTTTAGACAAGCAGTGATTGCTATTTACCAAAGAATTTT